CGGCGGCGGCGCGCGCGGCGTCCCGCGTGGCCCGCGCCGCCTTGTCCAGCGCCGCGACACGCGCTCCAGCCGCGCCGCCGTCTCCGCTCCGCGCCGCCGCCGCTGGCCCGCCCCCGCGCCGCCGGGCGCGCCGCCGCCAGCGCGTTGTGCGCGTCCGCCGCGCCAGATGGCACTCGCGCAGCTGCCCCCGCCGTCGCCTCCTGCCCCGCCGCCAGCGCTCCAGCCGCTCCTCCGCCGCGCTGCCTGGTTCTGCGCACAGCGCACGCGCACGCGGCCCTTTGCTTTGACCATACACAAATACTGGGCTAACAGGTCCGTTGGATACTGGCAACACGAACTGGCAACATGGTGCGTGCGACTGGCAACCTGTATATGAAACATGCAAACACTGCTGGCATCGGGTTTTCCATTGACAACCCTTGAAGCCAGCATGGTGCTTGCGACTCGGCAACTGGTACTTGCTACAATGTGGTTTGCGGTGGCAACACGCTACTGGGCAACATGAGTTGAAATAATGCAAACACATACTGCCGTGGGTATTTTTGCCAGCTGTCAACTCATACAGCCAGCAATGTGGTTGCGACTGGCGACAGTACTGCTACATGTGGTTGCGTGGCAACACGACTGGCAACATGTAGTTGAAACAAGCAAAAAACAAACTGGGCATCGGGGTATTGCCAGTGGCAACCCATTCAGCCAACATGCGGTTGCGACTGCAACAGGTAACTGCTCACATGTGGTTACGAGTGCCACACATTCTGAAAACATGTGTTTGCGTCTCATAACATATGTGTTCATATGTGGTTGCGACTGGCAACAAGCCTAACCGGCAACATAGTAGTTGGCCACGGCAAACACATACTGGCATCAGGTATTTGCCGCTGGACAACCCATTCCAGCTAATATGTGTTTCGCACGACTGGGCGTCAGGTTCGCAACAACATGCGCGTCACCCGGCGCGCAAAGATCATTTGCCTAACATGTTTTTCAACTTGAAAACGCGGGTATTTGCAACATTTGGATGTAGTTAACATTGGATGTAGGTTACAATACATATCTGAAACATTTGTTTTCAACTTGTAAATGTATACTTTAAATTAACTTCTCGCTCAAATAGCAAGTCATACACAGTTTTTAACTGTTTTTGATCGTAAAATAATATAATAAAATAGATTAAATAATTTAAAAAATGCAGTTCCACTTTGCAAACATGTAATTGGCAAAATCCACATCATTTTTGGGACTTTCAACACAGTTGCATATTGGATTGCATCTGGCGACACATAATTGCAATATTAGTCATACTTGTTATTTTTCCTTGCAACCTGCATTTCAACATTGAAAAACTAGCAAAAACTAGTTTCATTACATTATCTTTAATGGTACAGCATATTGCCATCTTGCAAAATGTAGTTTCGATTGAAACGCCCATGGCATGTGCATCTGCATCTTTTATTACACCATCAACTTTGAATTGCATTTTGATACAGCTCCCAAAAATATTGTGTAAACTTAACACCATTTACTTTGCAACTTAGAACACAAAGCTTAACTATTAATTAAAAAATGGGCCCCTTGTTTTCTTTCTGGGCATAAATAATGACTTCACTATCTGAGCACCGACTTCCGTCATTCTGCGGGAAATATAGTTATTCAAAGTTACGGGAATACAGTTATTCCTCGGACAAAAAATGAGAAATAATATATCCATCTGTAACTGATTTGCTTTTTGGAAATAGTTTTTATTCCATTGGGAACGAATATTTCATTATCAATTCTTCCTAAAACAGTCATTATCATCTGTACATCAGAATTTAACTTGTATGTGATTAGGGTAGGGATTATAGAATTCAGAAACAATGCACAGAATATCACCTTCTCTGCATTATAATGTCCTCAGACATGTTTTAAAACAAGTTTTTGAAGTGCATAAATAAAAGCCTGTGTGGGGGAGTGATGCGAGGGGAAGAGAGTGATAGGGGTGAGGGAGAATATGGATGAGAGCTGTCGGGAGTGAGAGTGTGGTTTGAGAAATGAGAGTGAGGTGTTAGAGAGGTGAGGGAGCAAATGAAAGTGAGAGTAGGTGAGCACTAGTGACGAGTGACAAGACAGGATCAGATGGGATGAGAAAAACTGAAAAGATGAGGGAGAGTAAAGGGGGTGAGAGTTGAGGTAAAAATGTAGAATGAAAAGATGAAGTGAAAGACGGGTGAAACGCGTGGGATGGGGGTGACTGAGAGTGAGAGTAAGAGCGGGGTGAGAGTGGCGTGGAGAAGGGGAAAAGAGTGAGAGGAAAAAGAGGATGAAAGTAGGTGAGAAGAGAATGGAAAGTGGGGAGAAGAAAAATGGGGAGGTGCTGAGAAATCGATGTGAAGAGAGTGGGTACACAGTGAAGAGGAGGAGGTGTGGAGAAGAGTGAGAGTGAGTGAGATAAGATTGAGAGAGGCGGGTGAGTGACTGACAGAGCGGGAGTGAGAGTGCGCCAGCGTGAGGGGGGTGAGAGTAAAGCGGGCGAGCGGGAGGGGTGAGAATGGGTGGCACGGAGAGGCGAGAGAGGGAAAGAGGGTGTAAGCCGGGGAGTGAGAGTGGGGGCGTACCTGTGCGATGGGCGCTCGAGGGGCGCAGGCGCTCGTCGACGCGCTGCCACAGCAGCTGGGCCTGCGCCGCGCTGCCCCTCCTGCGCGCGCGAGCGCTTCTCCAGCGCCTGCTGGCCGCGGCGCGCTGGTCGCCCAGCTTGGCGCTCGCGCACCTCGTGCCGCCGCAGCTTGTCCGCACGGCGCGGATGATGGCGGCGATGGGTGGACAGCGCCGAGCGATGCTCGGTGCCGGTAGTTGCTCCCTGCTCCACGGCTCTCCGCCTTCCTGACGACTCGCAGGGACTAACGCCCACCTCGCACCCGCGCCGACCCTCAGCCAGCTCACACGGGCACACCGACTAACGCACGCACGAGGCACGGCTGCCCTTCAGCTAAACACTCACACTTCAATACTCGCACATCGGTAGGGCGGCCGCCAACTCAGATGGCATCGCTTCGACATCCGTGGTTGTTCGCGACGCCGTCGCCGAACCCTCAGCCGCACACTCACACCGGGCCCTGCCACGGTCGTGCAGCGACGTTCCGCTCGAGACACATCTCGAGACCTCTGAAACCACGGCGTGCTGCGCCCTCTCAGAAGGTCACTAGCTACTAGCTGACCATCGGTACTGATCGACGCGCGCTGCTGCCCGCTCGAGCATCACTTCACAACCTGCGTCGCATCACACAAGCGCTCCGCCGCTCAGCCCACGTGCGCTCTAACACTCGGGACAACGCCACTCGTCTGAGAGCAGGCGCCGTTCCGTCGGATGTGTGTGTTGAATGATCAGACGAAAACACTGTGCAATACAGTGGGTGTGATGTGTGTGTGGCGTGAGGCTCACCCGTTGCGTGCGCGGGACGGGGCGTGGCTTGGACAGGGCCAGCGCACACGCGCGCCGCGCGCCACCTCGCCCCCTAAGCACAGATGCAAGCAACCTCAGCGCACACGACGCCGGCCGACCGCGCTCCGCACGGGAGCTCTTCCATGGAGCCTCCTCAGGCTCCGCTCTGTGCGGACACGCGCCGCCCTCAGCAACACTCACACCCTTCGCACCGCGCCGCCCCTTCAGCCACACTCACACCTCGCACACGCGCCGCCCCTCAAGCCACAACTCACCCGTCGCACACGCGCCGCCCTCAGCCACACTCACCCCTGCACACGCTGCCGCCCTCAGCACACTCACACTCTCGCACACGCGCCGCCCTCAGCTCACACTTCACAC